GCAATGTGACCGTGCACTTGGCTGCTTGGTGGCGCACTGAATAGGCCAACTATGATCACTCACATTAAATTCAAATTCTGACTGTCCGATATCATTAACTTCCTCTTGCTTCACTCCCACAAGCCACTCAGTATCAGTTTCTTGTTTCTCTCACACGTTTTTTTCCATCTCGTCATCTTTTTGCGAGAGCATCTCCTTCGTAACAAGCGTCCTTCCCAGCGTAAACCTCAAAACCATAACGCAATACAGGGTGAGTCAAAAAAAATCGAAAACCCAAATGTCGGAACTATTGTTTTAGTGTGAAGTTCTGCATGTAGCACTTCCAATATCTAGGATATGAAAGCCCATTTCATAAGCTTTCTTTCAGTACAAGAATCATTCAAATCACTCTTGTACTTTTCAAGTTACTGAGTTTACACACAACCACCGTTTAAAGTTCTGTCCATGGATCACAAAAAAAAGTGTGCGTTCTTTCAGCAAATCGAAAACAATTCACACACATCCCTACTAGTATGTGATTTGTTTTCGATTTGCTGAAAGAACGCTTACCTTCTTGTGATCCGTGGACAGAACTTTAAAACGGTGGTTGTGTTTAAACTTCCGTAACTTGAAAAGTACATAAGTGATTTGAATGATTCTTGTACTAAAAGAAAGCTTATGAATTGGGCTTTAATATCGTAGATTTTGAAAGTGCTACATGCAGAACTTCACTGAAACAATGGTCCCGACATTTGGGTTTCGCTTTTTTTGACTCACCCTGTATATCCACACACTCGTTTCTGCCTAACTGGCATATATGCGCTGCATGCCGATTTGCAGTATTATGTACTAAAGTCGCACTGCCCGGAGCATGGGAACGAGGGTGCTGTGTTGCTGTTTCAAAAGAAACATTTCATTTGGCAGAGAAGGGACAGCGTCAATACTAAACGTCCCCAGGCAGGATAGGACGTTTTTAAACCCCGTCACTCGCATCGACAATCGCCATTTTGACTGCTCCGTTGCATGTCGGACAAAGCCGTGGAACGCACGGCTGGAAAATATCCAGATCCGCAGACACGAAAGGGCTCCTTACAAGGGTCATTAACATTTGATGTTCTTTTTCGAATGGTCACCTCAAGCGGGCCACAATATGAACATTGCAACGAAAGATAAAAACTCGCGAACGACCTGATATACGAACAAAAACCTTTGATGATTTTGTAGATACAATCCCCCCCCCCAAAAAAAAACTTTAGTCGCGATTAAGAAAATGAACATTTTTATGCAAACAGCAACGCTCCAACATGGGAAATTTACAATGTTTTCATCGACATTTCTTCCTTTATAGTAAAGTTCTTATTTTTTTGTTACATGACATCTCAATTTTCAATTAAGCAATGCTAAGAAATTTATTCATCGTGTTCAAGTGTAACTTGTTATATCTAAAAATGTCAAGAATTTGGATGTTTTCTCGATATATCTGGGCCCAATTTCATGGCCCTGCTATAAAGCACATGATTTTCTGCTAACAGAGCCTCCGTCTATTTCATGGAGACCGTAAGCATAAGCACAGCAAAAGGCATGCTTAACTCAGTGGAAAAAGTTGCTTAAATCAGTGACGTTCAGACTGGGACCTTGAGGGCAGAAACCAAACATGCAAACTAAAATCTGGCCAACTTTACTCACCCTTTAGCCAACAAAATTCTCCATAATGTTCATGAGGCAAAGACAAGGTCCTCAGCATTTCACCAGCAAATTTTGAGGTCTCACTTCAATTTTTTTTCAGGAGACTTTTCTTCAACAATTTGCACCCGAGAGTGATGCAAAGTGATTGCAATTTAAAGCCTAAGACTAGACTGGTATACATATCACCTTTGTAAAAAAGATTGACCCTTCAGTAGTCTGGTGGCATGACTATGGAGAGAATGTGTAAAGATAAAGACTAGGTACAAGATGTTTCTTTTGACACTGTTATTGATGCAGTACTAATGGGTTGGACTGGTTGTTTCATGCGCTAGTGTGTTTTCTTGTGCTGCATGTTTTCACTATCTTAAGTTTCAATACACAGTATTGAAAGTTCCTAATTTTCTGACAAGGTGACGTTATAATAGATTTATCCATGCGCTCGTAACCTATAGCTCAGCCATACCATTAAAAAGTGCTAAAAGTTGGTATATACGTGTTTTTTTTTCTTCAAAATTTGGATTTTCTTCTCCGACAGAAATTTAAAGGAATATAATGTCCTGTCACAAATAATGTTGCTTCTTTGTTTATGCGGGCCTTATACAGTTTCTAAAATAAGTTTTAAATGGCGCGCTCCAATTCAGAAATAGCGAACACTATTTAGAACGAATTAGGAGCGTCCCGCTCTTAATTCAAAAGTTGAGATTAATTAATTGATTACTTGTCATGGGCCGTTTTTTCTTCTTGCGATGTCTCTTTAGAAAGCTCATAAATGTAACACTAGAAAATTATCAATTCCAACATCTATTTTTTAAGGTGCCACACCCAAAAAGCATGTATTCACCAACTTTAAGGTCAGCACGATTTTCTGCTTTAAACAGCGCCGTGAAATTGCCCCCGGTATATCAGTGTAAAAAGTACACTTGCAAATTTAGCTTCGAGTCTGCTACTAACTCAACACGAATCCCTTTAAGCTGAAATGCAAATATGAAATCATCCTTTTCAGACAAATAGTGCAGGTGTTTTCAAATCATTTTTTTTTATCAGAGACAGACAATCGATCCGTTTCACTTTAAATACAAAAAATATAATTGGAGGAGCATTTTTCATGAATGTATGCAAAATTGCCCGGAAGGTTTGCCGCATGGTTACGGAACCAGCCGGTGCCAGAGTGCCTGACACTCAATTTGAAGTGCCGCAAAGTTGTTTTTATATCTGAAGGTCGCTTCGTTTAGCAGCATGCACCTATCTATTTTGGTAATATTTTGTAGTGAGTTTAAAACAACAGATTTCGGTGTTAAATCACCCGCAGGGAACGATAATACCAGGACAGTGAACTCAATCTGCTCATTATACCGCCGATATGGAAATTAATTCTGTTAGGAGAGAAAAAAATCATTAAAAACCGACACGATCAACATCGACTTTTGCCCAAACGGAGGCATTTCAGGTATACACGCTTGCAGGTGTACGCACTAATCTCATTAATAACAGGAGGCGCCGATAGTGCAGTAACGCAAATAGATTCAGTTAATACAAACAATTTTAACCAGATAAACACTTCCTGCCTTCCATGGGATATGTTACATATTATGCTTATTACATGGCAATCATCTGAATGTGCTTTGCATGCAGGTTTTAGCTAGGGAATCTTCTACCTGTAGGGGACATATGAACATAAATATCACATCGCCGTTGAGATATTGCAACAATCTGAAAACCATTAGAGATTTGTATTAATCCGCGTGTTTAAAATGTTATTGGAGTGTTTACGGCCTAACTTTAATCACGATCAATCTTAACTCTCAATGTTTGTGTGTATACAATATTATGATATCATTGAAACAATTATCATGAAGTTGTCGCCGGAATCTTGCTTCCAAGCTGTTTAAATTTAAACACGTAGAAACTGTACTGTGCTCTCATTTTTATAAACAAATTGGAACGGTTTGAAATACCATAAGAAAAGACCGAATACGTATTTGTAAGTCTTCAGACAAATTTTAAAACGAGTTTAAAAATAACCGATGCCCTCTAGCATTCTAATCCATTATTTACAAGATTTATGTGCATAAACCAGCACAGGCGTAATCCAAGGAATGAACTGTTCACCCAATAAACTACAGAGATAAGACGATTTAGAGGAATTTCTGGAATGCACTGGAAAAAAAAATGGGTACAACACTGTTAGGCAATGTTATTTGCCTAACATTGGAATAAGGCTACCCCAGGGCTCACAGTGAAACCTTTAAACCTATAAAAACCTATATTTGAAGTCGAGAGCTTATTTGTTTTTTTATATAAAAACTATTATATTATTTTATATTATGGCATACATTTCAACAATTTTTTTACAGAAAATTTCAAGAATCAATTTGACACACTGTTCATAATTCCAAAATAACCACGTTGTCAATGTAGGCTTTCCTATCTAACATTTTTTGGCAAGTGTTTTAGAATTTGGCAATTTGCATGGAATTGGTAACTGTATCTATAGTGTGGAGAACTTGAGGTATGCAATTAACTTTGTTTCTGCTACCTCATGCTGAGAACTTGTACGGTTTTGCATCCTCAAAACCTATATATGCCTTTATTGTGGTACTTGGAAAACCTTTAAAAAACCTATTTTGATTTTCAGAACCTATTCCAAAACCCTATAGTGATGAAGAGGGACATTGTGAGGTTAAACTCATTGTTGGTTAATCTGGGTAAAAAATAGACCATTCGACCCGTGGTTGGCACTTCCTGTCAACCACGATTTGGCATAAGTATGGAAGGCCTACGTTGCAAAATTAAGGGAAAATTATTATGTTTCCAAAGATATCATTGGATAGCGTTCAATGTTTACAAACCAAAGAAGAGGCTTATAGTTATCAATGGCGGCGCGTATCACAATGTTAAGCAGGGATCGATGTTTTGTGATGATGTTTATAATTATGCCGTATATATACACTCAGATTAATGTCTGTGCTTTACATCATCGCGCATACGCATGGCACGTCACACATCAACCACTAGTTGACGATGATCGGATTGAACTTGCTCAGGGAAACCTCATCGTTAATCCTGAAACGACGGTTAGCTTACTTTCTTAAGATTGCTTTTAATGTGTTACCTCTTGACGCTAGCCTTAATTTGGCACATTCCATTACAACATGTCATAATTGTCAAGTCGTCACAAGTCATCAAGAGGCAATCATTGAGACAGAAATCTAGTGACAAGTTATACCAAAATAAAGGCGTTTCTGTGTAATTTCACCATCTCCTGTTACTTGTGACCTAACTTGTGATTGCCTTGTGACTGATCTAGGACTGACTTGTGATTGACTTATGACTGACTTGTGATTTACTTGACGGACAACATCAAAATGATGATCCTAGCTGACTCTCTGTGCTGTTAATGATTACTGTATAAATTGATTAAATCCAATTCAACACCGATCAGCCTTGCCAGGCATTCGCTTACACCATAGCTGATCCTCTAACTGGAGTCATTGTTTGTGATGACCGTGTTATGCTGGATATCAGTCAAAGCGGTGGAGTTCCGGTCGCAAACCATGGTTCGTTTCCCGCTCTTATAGCCTCGGCCACGCAGGGCCACGCACGGCAAGTTCTCCCGGAACTTGACGCTGATGAGCGCGTAAATGAAGGGGTTCACGCAGCTGTTGATGTACGTGAAGACCAGGCTGAGTTCGAAGAGGAAGGGCCTGCCTGCCCACCTGATCAGGTCCTGGTTGTAGACGAGTATCATGCGGCAGAGGTAGAAGGGCGCCCAGCAGATAAAGAAGACTACCACCACGCCCGTCACGATGCGTGTGACACGCTTGACGTCAGCACCTGCCTCGCTTCGCATGGAGACCTCCCGCATCTGAATGATGAGTCTGCCGTAGCAGAAGCAGGTCACAGTCAACGGCACGCAGAGTCCCAGCACAAAGTTGTACGTGATGAAGGCCTGGCTCCAAAAGGCCAGGCCTGGGTGGCCGAAGGAGGTGAAGTCCATGAGGCAGAGGTGGTCTGTTCCGTTCGGGACGCTTTGGTACGAGCTGGCTTGGTACGTGGTGGCTAGGAGCGTCGGCACGGCTGCTACGATGGAAGCCATCCAGATGACCACGCTCACGGCAGCTGCTTGGCGTCTCTTGCGGTGTAGCCTTGCCCGGCTGGACCGGCTGACTGCCATGTACCTCTCGATGCTCAGCGCTGTAACAAAGAAGGCACTGGCGTACATGTTCAGACCGTCAAACGCAAAGTAGGCCCGGCAGAGGAACTCACCAAACGGCCAGACGTTCTTGATCTGGTAGGCAGCCTGGAGCACCAGCCCTGCCAGGAACAAGTCATCAGCGATGGCCAGGTTCAAGATGTACATGTTACCAGCAGTCTTCAGACCAAGGCGCCTCAGCAAGACCCATATCACCCAAGTATTGGCCAGAAGACCGATCACACAGACAACATACGAGAAAGAACCGGTGGCGGTATAGATCCAGTCGTGATCGGACATGTCCTCGTAGGGTTCCTCGGTAGCATTACCAACCGACATGATGGCCACTGCTTGATAGTCTGCTGCAGAGATATCCAACGCAAACGATCTCCAATAATCTTCAGCGGGGAGCAATCTCAGAGTGAAATGGCTTACACGGTACCATGCTCTACTTACCCTTGATAAATTACCCTAATTTCAGTTATTGGGGCGATTAATACCCACTTATTAAAATGATCAGCGATGCATTGAAACAGATGGTGGTCACACACGTGGTTTAAACATACAGCCTCTAAAATGTCATCTTTGTTTCAGCGCGAACAACAGCCCGCCAAATTTCAGTACCGATGAAAACTGTGTCGTGGCCTCCGATCCAGTCGTTTTTTATGTGACACTGGGCGCTTACCTCGTTGGAGCTCGGTTGTAGACGAAGCGGTGACGACACAGCGGCTCAGTTCGCGTCTGCTTTTGCGCAGGACCGAGTCTGGATGATGTGCTTCCCGAGTGTTAAGAGCGGCTGCACTGGATCTGTCGCTCGCACCCGGTGATCTGGCAAAATAAATTAGATCCAAGGGTTAGATATACCACTCGCTGGAATCAATGTGGTAGCCTCTCGAGCTGCTAGTAAATAAATCAATGTGCCTACCATTAAAAAAAAACTGAGTAAACAAGTGCAGATCATTACAGATACCTTTGGAATTTTCAAGAGTTTGGTTTAAAGCAAAGGCTTGGTAACCTTCTCTTATGTAATAGCTTTATTTTAATTCTTTTACATCCTATGATCAAATATCTCTCGAAAAAGAGGATAGACCTAAAAGATCCACATGGAGTAATTGTAACTGTGAAGCTTGTTTCGAACAGGAAACATAGTACATCAAGTATACTCGCTCTGTCAGCTCTGTCAGCTCTGTCAATACCAGTCGTATCAAAAAGGGTGACCGTTAGGTCAGAGCCAAATTCTGCTAAATGCACTTCAAAAATCTGTCAGATTTATCAACAATCTGGCAAATTCCCCAGAATTACTCGAAATACACTATAGACACTTAAACTCGCATGCAGATTGGTAATATTGCCTTAATTAAGGTTCAAATTACATTATAAACTATCTATAGTCAAATCAATTAAGATGTTATGAAATTATCGCGTAAATTTCGGGCAAAACGCGGATCCGGCCACGAAGTCCGTTTCCCAGTGAACCTCAGCACCTAGACCAGCCAACCTGTCCGATTATGTAAGGGTTTGTTTGAAAAGATTGAAGTTTTTCTTAAACAAATGTACAATTTTTTGTTCAAATTTGCTGTTTTTCTGTCGAATAACCATTTTTGCAGAATTCTGCCAGAAATCTGCCAAAAAATATATTCTGTCGAATTTTCTTTCAAACTCGTTTTTTAACAACAATTATGTCAAAGTTAGCCGAAAATCGGCTAAAACGGTCACCCTGGTATCAAATACATTGCATGGCAGTGTAGCTTGTAGGGTTCGAGGCACTGTGTGGACCTGTGAACGAAAGAGGTCCACACGATGCAGGAGCGTAAGACGTTATGTGGACATGCACAGGTCCACATAACGCTTTCCACTCTTTGAAAAACAATCTTATAGAGGCATTTGGGGTTATAGTTATACGTCGCAAAATGAATGTAAACCCTCTGGGAATTACGGTCAAAAATTTAGTTTGGAAGAGTTTACAGTGCAAGTGGCGATGTTGGGGAAAATTGTTTTCTCTTAACCGTATACGAGAACGAATGAATGTCCACACAATGATGGAAAAGAAGCATTTGTGTATTATGTGTTCACATTTTCGGACCTTGAACAATAGAGGACAATAGTGTCCACGATTGGGCGAAGGTCCACTTTTGAAGTGTGTGTCCAAACATATGGGAGTTTTCCCAAACGTTTAGAGTATAAACAAAAGCGGGACAGTAGGAGGTCCACGATGGAATTTGTTTATACGCATGTGGGACTTATGCTCGTGTATTACATACATCCCGAGGACAGCAACAGAAAGAGAGAACAACACTCTTCGGTGTCCTCGAACGTACATCTTTTGTTGAAAACAGTCCTGGAACGCATATGTATACTTAGGCAACGGGGAGTGCTATATAATAGGAACAAAGGGAAAGACAATGCCTTGTCCTCGGACATATTAGTAAAATACGACTGTGAGTGCTCTAACCTTACATACTCTTTGTGGACCTGTCAATAAAACAGGTCCACAGGATGCAGAAAGCGTGAACGCTTTGCGTACTTGCACACGTCCACACTAGGTTTCCCCTCTCTGGAAAACAGGTTAAGAGGCATTTGTAGGTTAGGTTTATCTGTCGCAAAATGAAGAGGAACACTAAAGGAAATCATGATTTAAAAAATGGGTTGAAAGAGTTTTCTCAGTGCGAGTAAAAAAAATTAACTACACGAATACAAAGGAATGTCCGCAGTATAGGTATGTAAGGCAAGGCGGTGTGTTTGTGGGTGTGTGTGTGTGCGCGTGCTAAGCAAATAATATTTTCGATACTTAGTAAAAAATGTCAGCATTGTTCAGTAGCTCTATGCAATCGGCCCGATAGTTTATTTTACTGATTTCGCAAAGCAGCTCAGTCATATCGACCACAAGTCTCGTCAGTTACAAAGTACACAGCCCTCTTCTTTGACGTACGGCCCATGCTCCACTCTGACCATTACCACAATGACTTGACAGGATACCCTGACCTACATTTCACACAGTACAAAGACGCTTCCGTAGATTGCCGCGATTTTAATGAACAAGGAAAATACGATTAGACGAGAAGAGTCGCAAGACTATTGCAGCGGGCGCCAGCGTCGGTGCTCCCCCAGTGTCTGGCGCTGTCAGCACGGCGTGGTCGATCCGCGACAACCCGGCTTCTCTACCCCCTACCGCGGCAGGGGGAAACTCTCCAACAATAGACCGTTCTCTGAAGACCCTTGGCCAGCTCAACGTGAACATGACTTCTGAAGGCCTACGATGATTAAAAGGCATGCATGAGAAGCCATGGCGCCGGTCTATGTCCTTCGCGTCTGACAGACACTGATTATTTTCATTCATCTTGTGTGTATAGGAATTCCTTACATCATCGATGTTTTAAACCAAAAAAAAGTACAAGCTACAGAGGACTGTGGTGACGTCGGGTACGGTATCTTATTGGATTAAAATGACACTCGCGCATCCCCAGCTTTGATGTCGAGTTATACCTTCATCAACGTTAATGTAATAAGTATCAGCTTAGTGATTGGATTGCGGTACCCGCTGCTATATCTGAACCGGAAGGGTTCATTTTTTGATTTCCAAAATTTATTTTTGGGCCTACCCATCGATCTTTCATCTTTCCGTGGGACTTCCTTCATCTCACAGCATTTCAAAAGAATACCGTCTTTCTAATAATATTCCTTCTTTAAGGCATAATACGATCATTTGCTTTTCATACATTTTGTTTGCAATAACACAACTTAAAATCCAAAGACGAATGTTGAAAAGGTAAACCTGTTTCAGTTCGAGGAAACAGTGAAAAAAACATGCACAACCGTTTACTCACGACACGATCAAAAGCGCTCTTTAATTTCCAAAAATCAGTCAATATTGACTGATCGTTCGGAGTCGCATATATTTCTCGATTTCTTCTTGATGACACGAAGCCAAATGCAGATGATCCTGCATGCCTTTAAGCATGTAAAGTCACAACCAAATACAAGAGAATACGATTTGAAGTGACGGGTAAAAGGCAAAACACAAATGGCGTTGAAACGAGTGCCGATATCAAGGATTGTAACCGCTAAAAACAAAGTGGCGACAATTTCTAAAAGTGTGAATGAAGAACAACCCAAACTAGCGAGTTACCCTAGTGACCCAATGACCCATTTTGGTCAATGAGGGAAATTGGTATCCGTCTCGAACTTGGGTTGTCCAGGATTGTTTTCTGTGAAATACCGAAGAGAAAAATGCAAGTGGTTGACGATGTATCTTCCTAGCCCCAAAATGCGACTTGGAGGTTGTCTAATACTTGACTTCGTTTTCCCTACTTGTCAAAATGGTATGAAGCATGAAGAACATTCGGCTGAAACGATCCAGAGATAGTGACAAGACAACTGGCATGGTTATCAACAACCCCGCCTATACCCTCCGGCATCCTTCGATACCTCATCATTCGTATCGCCCTTTGTTCCTCTCTCGAGTCGATGTTCGCCCCGCGAGAAATAATAATCAACCTTATTTTCCGTCCTCCTCTTCCTCCTCGGATTTATTACCCCTCGTCTATTCCGTGCCCGGTGACATTACCGGGCCTAGCATTATACCCTCCTCTCGATTCGTCCACGGTAGTAACCTGATTCGGTCTCACCTCTTCTCCGGCCAACGATCCTACCGGAGCGGCCCGCAGATTTCCCCCGGGGGACGCGCGCCCAGACAGCACCCACGATCTCGCTCCGCGGAGTCCGCGTCAAAACCAAAAACAATCTCGAACGGTGTTGTGTCTTTGATTCAGATTGGAAGTGAAGCACACGTTATTAAAGTTCAATACAACCCATATCTCAGTGTCATCTTCACTACTTCAACTCCTCTTCATGTCCTGGACCGGTATTCTATCATTCCTGTGTTATTGTTGGATGATCAGTGTTGAGATCCCATGTAAAAAAGGAACGTTTAGTCGTCCACATAATCACGTTTAAAGGGCAGCGTTGGATTCGCTTTTTGTATCAGCGGTTTTTTTTAACTATTGACGTGATCTGATGTGTTATTGGTTAGGAATGTCTGACTAGTTGTCCTGTCAAATCACCTCGATGTTTGAAGTTGTAATAATGAGTAGACCGATTTTCTGCCAAGTGTAGTGCTTGACATTTGGTGGCGTTTTAATTTTAGCAGCCTGTCGTCTTCGGGCCCCTTGACCAAAAAGGTCGGATTCTTTTGTTCTGACGCTTCAAATTCGATAGCGCTTTCCCCACTTTCGATTAAATCGGTTTAAAGGGCTTAAACTTGCCCCAGACCCCATACAATTCTATTCAATTGATTCCCAATGACTACTCACTGGAAGACATTTCATGCGTGTGGTCTAGACAATGGGTAGATTTAGCCCATGCATTGGTGTTACACGGTACTCCTGTAAGATAGCACTGCCCGGCTAACATGTGGCAGTCAGCCAGCACGTCAGTCAGTGACTGATGTACGTACAGATAGGATACTAGGCAAAACTTTAAACGGCCTTTCGGATAAGCAAATTTGGCCATACATGACCCATTTTGTGTGCTTATAGTTACCTGATCAATCACATTCACAGAAGCTTGCATTATTGTTTTTAATCTAGGAACATAAACAAGTACAACTCTATTTGTTATTTGCAAATCAAAATGATTGCATGTGTCTCCTTTTTCTTGGAATAAGATCGTTCAGACTAAGGATACGAATGTAAATCCCTTCCACCGTATCCGTGGATCTGTCGCAATGAATTAGTCTCGCTTCCTGCCAATCCAGCATCCATCTATCTATCAATCGTAGCCTTCCTCACCAGTCCACTCTAT